GTCAAAACTGTAGAAACATCCTTGGATTCAGTGCTGCAAATTATTGCTTCTTTTTTGTTGTGTTTTGGGGGCCTGTATGGACTGTTCTTGAGACTTTTTTCATCTTTGACAGTGGGGTCTTCTCTATTGCCCACACTGTGTTTGTAAAAAGGCCTCTTCATCAATACGGACTGGTATTTACTCTTCTTGGCTACTTTTTGGTGATTACCTTGAAGTCCATGATTAGAAAAGGAACTTCGATTGAGTGCACAGTGCTTAAAAGTTTTCTGATTACTACTTGAAGGCCGAACCAAGGTTCTACTTCAGTCTTGGTTCTTGCAACTTCCAGGTGTAGTTTGGCCTTGTGTATTGCTGTCTTGTGGTTGGTTGAACTCAGTCCTTGCTCATCCTCATTCGATACACTTGTAGAAGTCATCTGAAATCATATTTGAAGTGTTTACATGATGAACTCCTCAGAATTTGAAAACAAGAATGGTGTGGAATATGGACCGATTCAAGGGACTCCAGGTGATTCTTTATTGACTGTGACCACAGTTAAACTAGACGGAACTAATTATTTGGCATGGTCACAATCGGTAAAGATTTATATATGTAGTAGAGGAAAGTGGGGGTTTATTTCCGGGAGCAAGAAGGCTCCCCCAGAAGATGATCCATCCTACGAGAAGTGGATGCAAGAAAATTACACTGTCATTGGGTGGCTTGTGAACTCAATGCAGCCACAAATTAGCCAACACTACCTATGGATGAATTCAACAAAGGAAATTTGGGACAGTGTTGCAGAAACCTATTCCCAAAAACTAAATGTGGCTAGAGCCTATAAATTGAGAAGTGATGTGAAGAATTTAAGGCAAGGGGAGAAACCTTTAGTTGTATACTTCTCAACCCTGAAGTCTCTGTGGCAAGAAATTGACCTAATAGAAGCTGTAACTTGGGACACCACCAATGATGCAGAGACTTATAGAAAACTGGTTGAAAGGAACAACGTGTTTGAGTTATTAACCGGACTAAACCCAGAATATGATATCACAAAACAAAATATTCTTTCAAAGGAGAGTGTCTCATTGTCACAAACTTATGCTTTGGTGAGCAGTGAAGAGAGTAGAGGGGTTGTTCAGGTTCAAGGGGCTGGTATTAGTGATCACTTTGCAAATATGGGGGTTAAACCCAAAGGTGTTGTTGGGACATCTAGTGGCTCAAGAAAGAAAGAAGTTGTATGTGAGTACTGCAAGAAGCCGAAGCACACCAAAGACAAGTGCTGGAAATTACATCCTGATCTTGTTCCCATTCGGTTTCAAAAAAAACATGATAGTAAAAGGACAAGAAGTGCAAATGTGGCTGTTGGGTCAGATAGTGATAAGTACTATACTGGAGAGATGTCTGCTTGTGCATAGTTGGCAGCCATGAAAGCAGAATATAAAAAGTTTGGGAAGATGATCAGTCATCTAGAGGATGTGACTTCTTCTTCCAACCCTTCARGAAATTCAGCTTCTTCTGCATTTGCTCATTCAGGTATAAGGGCCTCTGCCAATCATGCAACCACTTCAGGTAATCTTAAGATCCATTGGATTATTGACTCAGGTGTTTCTAATCATATGACTAACCTTTCTACCTTGTTTGTTTCATATGACTTGCTTCCTGGACGTGATAAAATCACTTTAGCTGATGGTTCACTTACCCCTATTTCTGGCAAGGGAACCATCAAGGCTACATATTCCTTGTTCCTACCTTCTGCCCTTCATGTACCTAGACTAAATACAAATTTGTTGTCTGTAATTAGTTTAATCAAGTCACAAAACTATTGGGGAAGAGACGTTTGTTGTCCTTGCCCCCCTTTGATGTTCATGTTGATACCTTTTCTGGTGCTGCTGTTGGATGCCATTGATGTCGAGATAAGGTAAATAGAAAGTGAGGTGTGGAATGACCTTTCAATCGTTTCCCACAGACGGCACCAATTGATGGTACACGATTTGGATGCTCCTAGCTGTAGGGCAGCTTGGACGTCTGTTGCCAAGTAGGTTGCTCAAACTACAAAGAAAATGAGGAATTAAAGAACTCGGGGTGGCTAACCCGACGAGGTCACTCCGATGCTTAAGTTAGTAACTATGATATGTGAGCTAAGAGTTTAGAAATAGGAGAGCTAGAATGCACTTAACCGCGCATACCTGGGTCTTGGGGGGTTGATGTCCTTATATAGTTGAGTTGTCGTGGGTCTTACGAAACAGCTCCGGGATCCTCGGCCCGCGTAGATGGGATCTGTTCCACTTTAGAAGGAGAGTAATGTACCAGTCAATGAAGTCTATCGTTACCGTTCGATCTAGGCAGGGAGAGAATAAGGTCTGCTGTTATGCGGCATGATCTCGATAGATTCGGAGTTCGCTAAGAAGCTTTTGGAGTCAATTACGTGTCACTTCGGTACTCGGGTGCCAAAGTGGCTTTGGTACCAAGGTGCCCGAACATCCAGGCTCCCCAACTGCTAACAAGACTCTCCTTGCTGAATTGTCATCCTACTAACAGGTCACATCCACGTGTCTCTTACATATTAGATTGGGCCAAATCACCCCTGATCAAGTCTTGTTGTCCCATTCATTTGGTGGGCTCATATTGGGAAAAATAAACACGAGTTTATTTTATATATCACATCATCAAATTGGGTCCGATTACCTAATTTGGCCAGTTGATTTCATGGAGAAAGGTCAGATTTCATTTGAATCCGAATTTGATTTAATAAGAGTCAGATTCAGCTCCTAACAAATTAGATCGAATTGAGAAAGTTTATCTGTTTAGTTAATGGATTGAATCCAAATATATCTGGTCTATTAGTTATGAAATATATATATATATATATATATATATATATATATATAAGATATTTAAGTTCAAATTCAAATCATAATCTTGAATATTTGATTTCTTGTCAGTCAGATTTCTTTTTGAATCTAATCGAATATCCCATTATTAAATCTGATTCGATCCATTTATAACCCTATAAACTGGGTCTATTGTTTTTATGTTAAATCTGTAATGTTTTCTTAATAGAAATAAATTTAAGTTAGCAGGATTGAAATAACGATACTTGTATAATTTAAAAAAGTTTTATGTATACGTATTTATTAAATGAAGTGTGATTTTTGTCATAGAACATCAGCTAAGATGAAGGTATATTAGGGTTATTTTAGAAGCGTGGGAGAGGAGGTTTATGTAGCTGTCATTTAATTTTAAGAATTTATATATCAGTAAATACATATACACGAGAAAACTTTTGCTCCTTTTAAGGGGTAGGACTGCAAATCCGTCGGATCTAATCCAACTCGAATTCATTTGGATAACTATTGGATTTTAATATCCATTTGATATATCAGATGGAATTCATATATATGACTTAAATATCTACCACAAAACAGTGTAAATTCTTCAAAATCATGCAGACTTATACCTCTAACCCAAAACCAACCCATTGAAATAGCAACCGTCTCAGATAAGATTTTATTGGCAATTCTACGACCAATACCAAGGTTTTAAAAACCGGATTAGACATACAACCATTTTGGGGACTGGTTCTCAAGTTGAATGGTATTAACTGTTCGGTTTGAATAGTCCATTATAATTTAAAAAAATAATAAGTAAAATAAAAAAGGGCTAAAAAATTATTGTTCGTGTCAACGATTCGATGGCCTGAATCAATAGTTTACTAACCAAATCAATAATTTTTGGCCCAGGAGCGATTTTAGGGTGAAATGAAATTGGTTACCTGACTGATTCCCAAATCATCTAATCCGACAGTCTGATCCGGTATTCAAAACCATGCCCAAACAGTCCCCAAATTTAATATATCTATACTATTATTATTGCAATAGGGAAATGATCGACTCTATTTGATTTTTCATGTCTTTATTGTGGAATCCAGTTCACTTGTGTTCCCTCTGATTTTTCTACATATTTTTGCTTTGCTTTCAATCTTTCTATACCACATGATCAATCACTACTCCCACACTTTCAATACTTAAAACTCCTAGTACTTTCTCTCTCCCACTGCTCAGCTTCATAAATTGCTCCTGTTAATTTTGTGGCCCATCTGATTGCACTACATGCTCTATCTATTTCTCATATTTATAAGTGTGATCAGTTGTAGTGCACCATGATTGTATTTTGAACAGATAATTGAATGAATTGACGCTTGTCTTATTCTCTTGACAAGGGCATTTCACCTCACTATTTATATATAAATTTTAAATTTAGTATCTTAGTTCAAATAAATAAATAAATAACCGTCATTGAAACCTTTCAAGATCTTTCATTGGTGTGGCTCCCATTCTTTTTAGATAAAGTGGGTTTTTTTTTTTCCTTTACAAAATCGACCCAATTCAGTCTGTTAAATCAAATAGGGTGGTGGGTCTCAATTCCCGAACAAATAGGGATGGTAGAATACTATTACATGGCTCTCTCTCTCTCTCTCTATATATATATATCACAATCTTTTCTTGAAAATTTAATTTTTTCTAGCATTTAACCAATCACTAGACTCCCCTTTCCTGATTTCTTCAAGTCAGAAGGAGATTGTGAGACCTCCTTCTGAGACACAGCCAATTGACAAAAAGGAAAAAGAAAATTTTGGCGACTGTTTGGTTGGTGACAAAGTCAGCAAGGAAGAGTGAAGCCATGCACACTCCACCGTCTACCACCATCACCACCTACCATCAATTTTGTGGTCTGGTGGTGACCACAACTCCTTTCCTCTCCAATTACGCCATTTAAAATTGAAATTCTATTTCAATTATTGGACTTAACGTTTACATGTAAATGGGTCCCAAGCCCAACCATGAATCACTGACTAAGGTGGCCAAGCCCCCACAACCATCAAATTGTCTGTTCTTTTTCGGACTACGACCCATCAAAGATGAGGACTGAATTATGAATTTACCAAGTAGAAATTAAAGGAAACGAGTAGAAAACGAGAAAAACAGAAATGGAAACGATAATAAAAGAAAGGTGGCGCAGGGAGATGAAGAAAGTGAAGAACTGCTTATCAGCTTATATATTTTACATTTGATGTTGCATCAAACTCGTCGAGAGGGTACAGAACAAACCCAAAAAAAAATAAAAATAAAAATAAAATAAAGTAAAGCAAAGAAGTAACAGAAACGGTTCGAAAATCACAATATGCCGGCATCGCCACTGTGGCGATTCCATGAAAATATTACAAAGAAACTTAGATAAAGAACAGAAGTACGGCGTATTAATGCAATAAACAGCAAATAGTAGTCTTAGCAGATTGGGAGAGGAGCACCGTTCCAGTCCCTGAGACAATCCAATAGTGGGTCGATCATTTTCCCCTCGCACATTGCTGAGAACACCTTGTCGAATTCCTCGCCCGGTGATCGGACCTTCTCGCCGGTCAGCAACCCTGTGTGTAGCTGTTCCCTCACAAATTTGTATATCGGGTAGGATCTGCATTCCTTGATGCGGTTGGGGACTGCTGGGCTCCCACTCTCGTACGCGATTCTGGCACCCTCGACTTCCTTGGGCAGAAGGGCCTTCAGTTCTTCCTCGAAGGCGGTGATCTTCTGGAATATTGAGGTGTTGGAGTTCTTTTCATTCTCGCCGTTGAGGAGTGCATGCTGGACGAGGACTTGCCTGAGATTTTGCATAAGTGGGTACGTCGCGCTGCATGGGTCGTCAATGTAGGCGAAGACGTACTCGCGGTCGACGACCTTGAGCAAATCCTTCTCGCAGAACCTGGATGGGTGAAGCTCCCCGTTGACGCCCATGGTGAGAACCCTCTTGGCCAGTTGGCCCACTGTGTTCTTGACTGTGCTCTTCAGTGTCTCCTCCAAGTGCCTCAAATCGATTGCTTGGCACAGTGCAACCATGTATGTTGCAGACATGAGCTTCAGGATGTCGACGGCTTCGGCTGTCTTTCTGGAAGAGATCAAGCCCAAGGAGTTGACGTCCTGGTTGTGTTGCTCTGCACTCTGGACGTGGTTCGTGACCGGATTGGCGAGGAACTGGAGTTCAGAACAGTAAGAAGCCATGGCGATCTCGGCACCCTTGAACCCATAATCTAAGCTGGGGTTGCGACCGCCTGATAGATTGGAAGGCAACCCGTTATTGTAGAAATCGTTAACAAGCTCGGAGAACTGAGCAAACATGAGCTTCCCAATGGAGGCAATCGCCAAGCGAGTGTTGTCCATGGAAACGCCAATGGGGGTCCCCTGGAAGTTACCACCGTGGAGGGCCTTGTTCCTCGACACATCGATCAATGGGTTGTCATTCACGGAGTTGATCTCCCGCTCGATCATCTTGGTCGCCGATCTGATCACTTCAATTTGGGGGCCCAACCACTGGGGAGATGTACGGAGAGCGTATCTGTCTTGCTTGGGCTTCTGGAGAGGATCAATCTCGTGTATCTTCTGAGCTGCCTTGACGTAAGAGCTTCCGTCCAAGATGTGTTCCATGATAGCTGCAGCCTCAATCTGTCCGGGGTGGTGCTTCAGTTTGTGAGTCAGATGGTCGGTGAACTCCGGTTTGCCTTGCATCACTTCGGCGAAGATGGCGGATAAGACCTCGGACAAGACAGCGAGGATGTTGGTCTCGAAGAGAACCATTGAGGCCAAACCAGACCCCACAGCGGTGCCATTAACAAGTGCAAGACCTTCCTTGGGCTGCAACTCAAAGAATCCATCATTGACCCCGGCAAGGTTGAAGGCTTCGCTGGCATTAAGGATGTGGCCATCGGGTCCCACGGCTTTGGAGTTGGGGCGGCCGGTGAGGAGGCCGGCGATGTAGGAGAGAGGGACGAGATCGCCGGAGGCGGTGATGGTGCCTCTCAGGGGCAAGCATGGGGTGATGTTATTATTGAGGAATTTAGTGATGGCTTCTAAGATCTCAAATCGGATGCCAGAGTATCCTTGGAGGAGGGTGTTGATCCTCACCAGCATGGCCGCTCTGGTCGCCGAGTGAGGCAATGTGTGGCACGATTCCGTTCCGTTCCCAAAGATTCCAGCATTCAAGAATCTGGTTGGTGCAACAAAACATTAATTAATTGTTAGTTATATACCGGCCCAAAGGCCCAAAGCCATTTTTTTTATAATTCAATTTTCTGCTGAAAAAAACAAACAAATTCTAATGTATTATTATTTACCAAAAAATAAACTTTGTGACTTGTGAGCCCTATCACTACAGAGCCGAGTCCCCTTCCCATGAATTGGTCCGATCATATAATCACAGCCGCCCATTTATTTTAGTATAAAATTAATGAGCATGGGCAGTTGAGATTTTGTAGTTATATTGTCCCTTGGAACTAAATTAAGGTGATGGGAATCATTCACTGCAAGGCCCGTTCGAACAACCATCATAGCCTTGTATTAGGAATATCTTTATACGAAATAAATTCTAATGCAAGGCTGAAAAGGCTTTTCGAACAGTATTCAAACGGTAATTGCAGTGACCGAAGCTGACAAGCTGTACTTTTTTTTATAAATTTTATAGACAACACCCTATACTAAGGAGGCAGTAACACTTAGCCCACCGAATTTTATTTTTTCACAAATACCCCTTTAAACTTTTGGATTCCAACATTTTATCATACTATTCCGTTATTTAACTTCATGAAATATTTTCCCAAACTACCCTTATTGAGACCATTTTGCCCCTTAAACTCAGTTTTTTTTCTAAAGTCCTAAACTCTCACATATTTTTCTCAACTTTTTTTCAATAGAGTTTATATATCTTAAAAACTTCTAGTAAAGGTAGAATTTATCAATTAACTAAACAATAAAGATAATTTAAGAAATTTGCCCTTTTAATATTTATTGCTCTCAACTCATAAAATCTTAAATGGAAAATTTAATAATTTTACATTTTCATTAACCCATTAATGGCAGTTCGGATTCACTATCCACACTTACCCACATGATTTCACAACCACACATACAGAGCATCTCCTATTATGCTTGTATGTTATTATGCATGGAGAGATATTCCCGTGGTGGGTAGAGATCTGGAGTCCAGTAATGGATCAGGGGCATAACCCTTTGATGGATAATTAAGATAAATTGTACACACACAGTGGTCAATTTCGTGGTCCAAACCCAGACCCGCTTCGGGTATATGAAAATAGCTCCGACTCTTTTCCTACCCGTTGTCGGGTATTTCCTGGCCCACAAGTTACAACTATCTAGTACCCACCAGGCTACCACTACCACCACCTTTCGTAAAGGTAGCAGGATTAGGCTAGTATCCCCTGAACGAACCACCAGGTAAAAATTCTGTCAGCTCAGCAGGCCGCTCAACCAATATATTAAACGCCTCAGCCCAAATACGTTGGAACAGGGGAAAATCGGTGGCCAACCACTTAATCCCCTCTACCAAGAATTAAAATGGTTCAATTCATTAAGAAATGATAAATCTGGGGAAAGTGGGGATGATTAATGTATTTACCTAATAAGCTCTTTCTGAAGGGCTCCTCCTTGTTTGGTTCTTCTGTGTGAAGTTGCACCGAAACCGGTCGTGACACCATAACTGTCCGTGCCCTTGTTCATGCTCTCCATGACCCAGTCGCTGCTCGCTTTCACTCCGGCCCTTGCCGACTCCGCCAGCTCCACCTTGACACCGGCGTCGTGAGTGGCGATGGCCGCCACTTGGGAGATGGTAAGGGTCTCGCCGCCTAGCTTGACCACCGGCTTCCGGTACTCTTGCACCATGCGCTTAACCTCATCCAGGTGGCTTCCCTTGAGAGACTCGGCGGCCATTTGCCAGTTCAGTGGGTCTTGTTGGACGCAGAAGCTTTTGATGCTGCCGTTGCCGTTGCCATTGCAGTTCTCGTGGGCGAATTCCATTTTCTCAGTAGTCAGCCTAAACCCTGACAGAAAAGACTAAGCGATTCCGAGGAGAAGAGCTGCTCCTGTCTTTTTGTGAGAAACTGCAGATTAAGCCGGAGGAGGTAATGGTGGGGAGGAGCAACAAAGTAGAAACAGAGAGCTTATGAGATTTGATTTGAGTGAGGAAATCTTTGGGAGAAGGAATTTCCTGAGTTGGTCACCAGTTTTTGGTTGCTTTAAATAGAGGTCTGGTCTCACTATGTTGGGTGGGATGGCACAACGGGTTAGTTGAAAACATTTGCTGGCCGCTGGATTGTTCACTCATACGGTCATTACGATGTTGCCACGTGGCTAAAATACGAAGCATTGCATAACAATTAACAAGCGCATGACATGAGGACCAAACGCGGGATTTTGGTTTTACTCGTCAAACATAAAAAGAACGACTGAACGAGGTGGTGGTTGGTGAGAGCGCGAGCGAACCCGAACGGCAGCCTGACGTCATTACTAATTTGCCCCCTTTGCTTGATTGAAATTACCAAAAGCTCCTTCAGACAAAAATTGGCCCCACCAGTGAAAAATCCACCGGGCACCAACCAAAAAGGACCAACCTGCTGCCTCCGGTCTCCATACACCAAGAAGAACGGGGTTTTCTTTAATAGTTTCTTTATTACGGGGGGTAGTTTAATCATTTCCTTGGCGTGAATGATTCAAAAACGATCGTGGTCCTACGATTGAAATGTCAACCATCAGACTGGAATCCAGATAACATCACACCGGTGTCATCAGATTCGTTCTCATCCGATGGTTGACAAAGAGCTCCCAGCTTCCTACTCAAGCTTTAAGAACCACTTAATAACTTTAATTTCAATTAAATAAGTGGAAAAAAGTAAACATGATTGGGCGTTGTTTGGAGTTTAATGATCACCTGGTGAAAAAGCCAAAAGTAAAAAAAAAAAAAAAAGAATTTTCAAAGTGGAAGAATCCATTTCGCTTGGGGAGAGACCATTTCAAACCATCGTTCAATTACAAATTAGTTGGAAAGGATAATTCCAATTTCTTCTCCTTTTTCTTAAGCATATAAGCTTTCACCTACTGCATTGTTTGGTAATATATTTAGAGCATATATTATATATTTATTTGGTTGGGGGGAAGGGGTTCAGGTCCTTCACGAAAAAGTCCATTGGGCTTAAAACGTAGATAAGCAAAGGCCCACTCATATATTATGCTTAAATTTAATTAATTATAATGGGAGTGAAGAGAATTAAACAGTAAACCACTTAATCAAATAGGCTATGATATCATCTCAAGAAACTGTTCAACCTAAAAGGTTATTTATTATTTCTTTATTTATTTTTATAGGAAAAGGTGGTGCTATACAACACGGGGTAATACGCCCCCCAACATCACCCAAACAAATAAAATCCAGACCCCTAATGAGATTACAAAGATTGAGGGAGACAAAACCATCAGCCCGATTTGCAAGTTAGTTCGCCGCTTGGTTCGATTCTCTGTACACATGTCTGTAGCTAACACCACCTTCTAGTTTCACATTCATCTAACAGTCCAAAATAATATTCCTTAGATTTCATGAGGAGAGATCAAACCTTTGAGACAATGTATGATTAGATTTGAATCCCTTCTATTATGATTGAATAGTTGCTGAAATTGTTCAATCTAAAAGCTTAAACTGTTAGATAAAGTTTTTGAATAGATTTTTATTTTCTAACATTGTAAATATTTGAATTAGCATAACATTATTAGTTTATCATATTTGATTGCCTAATTGATTTTAACAATTTGTTATTTCTTATCAATCCCAATATTATTCCTTATTATATATAAACTCTTCCAGCCCTCTTAAGTTGAAATCCTATCTATGGTCGCGGATGATCCAGTAGTTAAGATGGTCATTGGTGAGTCAGCATCCCTCAAAATAGGAAGTGTGGAATCAAACTCATTGACGCACAGACCTTTCATGATATGGCCAGTGGGCCTCACGTGAGCCCTACCATCCCTTAGCGTCGATTACCTTGTAATGTGGCCAATTGCATTTATGTAATTTAAAAAAAAAAAAAAAGTATCGATCCACTCATGGTTGCTGATTGCCCCTTCGACTCAGTGGGGCTGATTAGGGCATCCTTATATTGTCCTATTTTAGTTCAATGAAACAACTAAAATAAATAATAGCCCCTCCCCCACCCCCCTAAATTGCATCTTGACCGTAGATTTAACATCAATCCACGTTTAAGATTCATCTTTCCTGTATATAGGGCTAAAAAATTCTGACTTGGACAGATCAGTCATTCTTCCAATAAATAATGGCATCTTTATGAGAGAGAGAGAGAGAGAGAGAGAGGGCCCTCTGATAATGGCTGGAATTAAACTAAGAAGCCTATTCGATTTGTCTTTTATGCTGTGTTTGGTTTCAGTACAAATAAATTCATACTGATGCAAAATCATGACAGTGTAAATCATTTGAGTGTAAATTCTGACCTATTTTTATTTTAAATTTTAATTTATTTTATTTGATTGTAGTACAAATGAAATAAATTAAGTTATTCAGCAAAATAAAATAAAATCTAAAACAAAAATAAACAAGAATTTACATTTTTTTATATTTTCACTTCCATTCATTTGTATTAATACAAATAAATTTATACTGCAATCAAATACAACGCATCAAGCTCAGTTTAGAAGGAGTACAAATACAAATATTAGACATAGCCTTAAATATTTATTATTTTATTATTTTATTCAAAGCAAAATAATAAGCCATTCAGTTCAGCAACTTCAGCTGTTATTGCACGGCTCGATTCTGCCGAAATTGATTATGTGACCATCGATCAATGTGCCGCACCTTGTATTGGACTCTTCAACTAATGCTCTCATTTGCCACGTGATCAGATAGGTTGCTACCTGATCCACAAGAACGTGTGAAGAAGCTATTGTCCAATTAAATAAAATGTCAAGTTTAAGTAGCGCAAGTCCATTAGTGACTAACGAAGAAAATTAAAACAAATTAAACTGTTTTTATTATTATTGTTATTGTTATTATTTTTGAAAGATTTGACTGAGAGAGAGAGCATCCAGATTGAGACCAGATGAGGGAGTCAATTAATTAAACGAAAAAACAAAGTAGAATAAGATATGAATAGGTGTTGTTGAGCTAACACGGATTGATGCTTACTCCTACCGACCCCCTCGTTGTGAACTTGTGATTCAGGGTAGGTAGAAAAACGGCTGGTCTGGTCAGGAGTCAGGACTCAGGACTCAAAAGCTACGAGACTTTTCAAGAAATATTTCGTGGGGCACGAGGTGGTTTCTATTTGTTAATTATCAAGTTAGTTTTGCTATGACTTAAAACCATTGATGGATTGACCACCTACCTATTCGTCAACCGTGTTTGGGTGAACCGTCATTGGCCCTGGATGGTTGGACCATGCGGCGCATGAACTATTCAGGTACTCGGTTCCATTTCACTCTTTAACTTGTTATTTGACAAAAAAACTGTTGATTCGATCAACAATTTACTAGCTCGGGTGGTTGAATAATCGATTTATTCAACCTAAACAACGGTTTTGGCTGTTATTTTGTTTTAATTATTTTTTAATTTATAATAGATCATCCATTTGAACCAGACGATTAAACCATTAATCCAAAAACTAATAACCAAAATGGTTCTGATTCTAGATAGGTTTTTAAAACATTGGTTTGGGAGTGCATTTGCATCTATATATGCATTTAAAGAAATCCTTTTTTTTTTTTGAAAAAGGCACTTTTTTGGTATTTGAATAGATGTTTTTCACAATATACATTTTAAAATGAGACTCAATTTGAGAAAAATATAAATACAAATATATACAGTAAAATATATATAAAATAATATAAAATATAAAAATTTGTGTTTGTACACCTTCCAAACTGAGCCTAAATAATTTTTTATTAGTTTTCACTTCTTCAATGTAAGAAGGTACAAAAAAATTGGAGATATATCCCAACGTGTGTACGTAAATGAAAACAAGTGATGGCAAGAAAGAACCAAATACACGTGGCTGTCCACAGCCCACAGAAATATCTACTGAAAGATTGAATGGATTTGACCCCTAGGAATGACAATTTCCACCCAATGGAATGGTTTTCCTTTTGTTGAGAAAATAAAAAAAAAAAAAAAGAATTTTGGGATGGGGATGTGGGATTTTAAAACCTGTACGGACATAAATAGGTACAAGTTTTAGGTTAATCCAACCCTCCCTAATCTGTATATTGAATTTACTAAAATGCCTCTAATATTTAAAATAATTAAAAATTATTTTAATTATTGGATGTTTATTTTGATTTTTTTATAAACTTATGTTATTTTGATTGTTTATTTGTTTATTGCTAAATTGTTATTAAGTTTAGTAACTTTATTAATTCTTACTAATTTAAGTTTTTTAGTAATTTTACTAATTTTATTAGATATGGGTTCTGGACCAGAGCTATCAATCTAATCCACCTCACCCTCAAATGTGATGAGCGTATGGCCAGGGAGAAATGTTTTAAAAAATCAACCCAAAACCAAAATTGCTTTTGGCCATTGGTTTTCAAGTTAACGGTTTGATTGTTCAGCTTGAACAAACAATTCATTTCAATTTTAAAAATAAAAATAACTAAAATAAAAACGGTCAAAAATCATTGTTCGGATTGAAGAGGCCAACAGTTTCACTGCCCAGGTCAGCGAGTTGTGACCAAGTCAACAGTTTCCTTGTCAAAGAACTGGTTAAGGGTGAAACAGAACCAATTGCATACCTGGAGGGTTCTTAGGCCAAATGGTCTAACCGTCTAGGTCGATGATGGTTTAAAAACACTACCGGGAGAATTGTGCATTTCCATGTGTAAAGAGAGTTTGGGTTTTAAAAGTCCAACCCATTTTAGATTTTGAATAGAATAGAGGTTGCAAAGTTTGTGGAGGTGGGGACGGTTTGGAATTTACAAAACACTTATGGAATATGTCCCATTGCTAACCTTACCCCGTTTTAATGCTTCTTTTTTAGTGCTCATTGGAAAAAGTTTTTAAAAGATTCGAAAAGCACCCAAAAAAACATACTTTTGAGCATTTGGTAAAAAATATATATCCAATAAGTGTTTTTTCAAGAGAATAAACCTATTTTGGTGAACTTTTAATAAGCATTTTTTAAAATTAAAAACACTTATTGTGTTTCTGACCCATCTTGGCCT